GCAAATTGACTATGCATATTATTAATGCTCTGCTAGTGAATGGTTTCAGTTCATTTTAAGATGCAGTTTCTCATAAGACTATCATTTTTAAAATAAATAAAATTGAAAGTTTTCTTGATTTTATTGTGAAATATACAGATCTTTTTGTAGTAATAATACATATTTATATATTCCTGAAAACACTAAAATTGTGCTCAGCTGATGGGCCAACTCACTCAAAAGTGAAAAATATGCAGCTTTGTATCCAGAATACTAACAAAAAAATCTTAATGAGAATACTAGAATATGTTAAAACATATATGAAATTTGTCACAAATAAGTAATATGGTCAGTTTAGGATTTTTAAAAGAAGATGAACACTGTGCGAGGAAGGGTTGAAGCTACAGGATTATGGAGGCCAGGGTAAAATGCATAAAGATTTGGAAAGAAGAGCTCATTAAACACTTGCAAGAAAGAGCATGTGGCCAAACTGTGCCAAGAGGAAGAACATGGGTTGAATGAGAATTGTGTACCATACTGTCTTTTCAGCAGCTTGCTGCTTTCCACTGTGTTAGCCTATTTTGGGTTCAGCTGTTGTTATTTGGTAGTACAAAAACATAGGCTGAGAAGAATCATGTACAAACCAATGTGACTTACATTGTACTAAAATCATTCCTTTATTTACCAATGGGCTAATTCGTATTATGTAAGGTTTGTAACAGAACAGTCTGTACTAAGAATACAAGAGGTGGCTTCTGTTTTTGACTTGAGCTCTCTGATAAGTCCATGACCTTTTTAAGATTTGATTTTTGTGTGCGAAATGGAAATACTACAACTAAAAATAATGTAGCACAGCCTTTTCTCTCTTGAGCTTATTGTTTTAATTTTAAACTATAATAAGCACATTAAAGAAGCACATTAAAGAAAAACTGGAAAACAGAACAACAAAGACAAATATTACTGTTAATATAAACCACTGTTTTCTTTTTTGTATGTATTTTTTACTTTTTCACCAGTTTTTAATTTATTTACATTCTTCAAGTCAGTCATATTTAATGGCTACTAAATATTAGATTGAATAGATGGGCTTTAGTTTACCATTTCTGTTATAGAAAATGTAAGTTGTTTATAGTTTTCCATTATCTTTAATAATTTTTGGATGAATATCTGTGTGTCCCTCCACACATTGTGGGCTGTGAAGGGAGTATCTTTTTCCCTACATAAGATTATTTCACAAAAGTGACACATTTGGAATTGTTGGTTCAAAGAATGAAATTTTTAATAATTCTTGATACACATTTCCAGTTAGCTTTCCAAAATGGCCCTAGGTCCTTGCCCAAAATTGTTTATATTTTTTAAAATAAGTTTTTTATATAATTTTTAAATTTATATATTTGTTTGCTATTTGTATTTAATATGTGAGAAAAGATCATTTGGCTATTTATCCATTGTGGTAGACTTAGTATTCTAAGTGGGTAGTGCTCTGTCTACCATAGTAGCACCCTGAACATGTCTGATCTCATCTAAATGGATAGTGCTCTAAAGTGCTATATAAGGATAGTTTAGAAACAGCTTTTTTTCCTTCTTGAAAACACAATGACAGTTCAGACCTTACTAAGATGATGTCAGTACTTGGTTTTTAATAATGTCAGTACTTGGTTTTTTAAACTTTGCTTGGATTAACACTCTGTGACTCTTTGGCATATTTGTTGCCATACTATTTCTTTACATCTTAAAGTAATGAAATTTTATTATAAACTTGTAATTCAGAGGAATAACATACTTGCAACCATTTAAATTACTTATGAGAAAATTTAGTCAATAATTATCAAGAAGCTGATTTTTTGAGTATGTTACGTTAATAAAACGCACTATTTCTGTTTTAAGCAGTATTGCTAAAAATGCAAGTTACTTGAGCGATTGAAAGTGACTGTGATGGCCAGAAGTTTGAATATTGAACTTAGCCTTGTTTATAATTTTGGCTCTGCTTTTTATTAGCTTTAGTACCTTAGGGAAATGGCTTACTTCATTTCCATTTCCTTATTCTTAACAATGAATTTCAGTTTTTTTTATTGTTACCACTTAGGATGTTTCCTACCATTAAGCATTCATTTCTAAAATAAATTAACTCTTAAAGGCAGTTAGTGCAGCATTTTATAGAATAGACATACAATTTGTATTATGAGTTCATTTCTGTCTGAAATAATTATGATTTGAGTGTCTACTCATACTCAACATTTTGATAAGATTCATTAGGAATACAAAAGTAAAAGACTTATCCCAGCTGGGCATGGTGGGTCATGCCTGTAATCCCAAAACTTTGGGAAGCTGAGGAGAGAGGATTGCTTGAGGCCAATTGTTTGAGACCAGCCTGGGCAACCATAGCAAGACTTTGTTTCTATAAAAAATTTTAAAATTAGCTGGGCATGGTGGTGTGCACCTGTAGTCCCAGCTACTTGGGAGGCTGGCACAGGAGGATCGCTTGAACCTAGGAGGTGGAGGTTACAGTGAGCCATGATACCGCCACTATACTACAACCTGGGTGACGGAGTGAGACCCTGTCTCTTTAAAAAAAAAAAAAAAAAAAAAAAAGACTTACTCCTCATGGAATTCACAGTTGGAAAGGAAGGACATATATTGAACTAAGGAGTAGTTCAGAGTAAGTAGAGATGATGCATTTTAAAGCCTATGACATAGAATCTGTAATGTAGTAAAATCTCAGCAAATGTTAGCCACTGCTGTTTGGTACTTTCTAATTCTAGATGTAATGACAGATGAATGGAGATTTAAGTGACAAGGCAAAAGTGAAACATTAGAAATTAATCACTCCCTTCTTTAATTGAACACTGGGTACACTAAAGAGTGGGTTTTTTTGTTTGTTTGTTTTTTAAGGAAGCAAGACACTATTCAACCAATTCTCATTCATCATGTTTTTAAGTCCCTATGAATAGAGAGACTTTGGTGATAAAATGAATAATTTGATCACTTATATAGTACAGGATATCAGTTCTGAAATACATTGTGTGCTCATATATGTGAATGCTTATGTATGTGGTTTTCATAAGAGATTGAAACAGAAACCAAATCTGTTATCGTTTGATCTTTTCCTTTTTACAGTGTCGTGATGTTTCAAGTTATGGGTGCACAGGAGAGAGATAAGAACTGGATATGGAAAGAATGCTGTTAAGATTTAAAATGAATAGGATTTGAGTCATTGGTGCTCATAGGTGTTGTGTACATACTGTTGCCAGCACATATTGTGGTTAGAATTTTGTTTCTGGAGTCAGTCTGCCTGGTTTTAAATTCTGACAGTTCCACTTATGCTTAACCTCTCTGATTAATTTTCCTCATCAATAAAGTTGAATTAATAATAGTGCCTACCTTATAGGATTTAATTGACAGTTAATTGAGATATCATATGTAAATTGTTTAGCAAAATGCCTGGGCGCTAAAGTATTATCTAAGGCTGTTGCTAATGGAGTGCTCTGAGGCTAACTACTTCTGGTGGTAGCTCCCAGAATTCAGATAAACTATTCTACATCTAAAATTAACCAGTTTTCTCTTTTACATAACTGACATAAAAAATAGAAATAAAATAAAATTAGCCGGTTTTCAGAATTCTTGAAGTAACCTGCCATCTATGTTCTAAGCGAAATAAAACTCTGGAGGTACCCCCTCCCCCCAATTACTTCAGTTACACAAGCATAAGTGGGTTGAATAGGATAATAGTTGGTTTTTCACTGAGTTTAGAAATGAGTTATCTTTGTGAGCCATTGAAAATTAATTAAATAGCACATTAGCCTATTGCTTTCTTCTCTGGTCTGTTATTCTCTCATGATAAAGTTTTTGAATAGAACGGTGTTTAAAATGCAAAACAAAAATCATATGAGAAAATAGAAAAAGAATAGTAATAGCTATTGTTCGCTCTCCTTGAAAGTACAGGGACAGTTCAGACCTTACTAAGAGAATGTCAGCCTTGAAATGTCAGTACTTGAGATGATATAGAATGCAGAGTTTAAAAGTACTGGAATTTTAAAAAGAAATGATAAACTTATAGTGAATTTAATTTAGCTAATAATAAATTTAGTGAATAAGAAATGTTATCTTGTTAGACTTACAGAAGTATAGAATAGAATGGTTGGTAACCAGATATGGGTGGTGGGGGTAGGAGGAGGGTGTAGGGAAAGGGGAAATGTTAGTCAAAGATTACGAAGTTATGGTTACACAAGAGGAGTAAGTTCTAGTGACCTATTGCATAGCATGGTGACTATAGTTAATAATAATGTATATTTCAAAATTCCTAAAAGAACATTTAAAATGTTCTCACCACAAGGAGAAATAAGTATGTGAGGTGATGGATATATTAATTAGCCTGAGCTAATCATTTCACAATATATACATGTATCATAATATCACATTGTACCCCATATGTATAATTATTATTTGTCAATGAAAAATAAATAATGAAATAAAAATGTTATCTCTTTTTAGTATGATATGCTGTAAAAATAGTATACATAGTTTCTTTTTATAGTAAATAGTTGAGATTTGAGGAAAGGGTTTATTTTAAAATATTGCTTAAATAATATTTCAAATGTATTATTTTCAGGATTCAACTATTTGTAAAATCATAGATTTTTAAGATACATATGAAGTCTTATAATTCAAAGAAATAGCCTGTCCGTTTTAAGTAATAATAGCCACTTCCTATTAGGCGATTAGTGTGGGCTAGGTACTTAAGTACTAAGTATTTAAAATGCATTATTTAATTGTGTTACTATCACCCGTACACCTGGTCCTATAAAGCTGCACTTTATTTACAGCCATTTCAACTAATATAAGTTATTTTCCTTGTTTTATAACCAGTAGTCTCTTCATTATACAAATGTGATGCTTAAATATTATGTGGGATAATTGATAGCAAAATTTCTCTGATTTGGGGATATTTACATACGTATTTTCTTTTTCCCAGAGTTTAAGATTCTAAAGTATTACGTTGATAATTGTTTCCTTTGTTGCAGAACTATAAGAGTAAATGGGTCCAGTAATTGGAATGACTCCAGATAAGAGAGCTGAAACCCCAGGAGCTGAAAAGATTGCAGGATTAAGCCAGATTTACAAAATGGGAAGCTTGCCTGAAGCTGTTGATGCTGCCAGGCCAAAGGCCACTCTAGTGGACAGTGAGTCAGCAGATGATGAGCTCACAAACTTGAACTGGCTTCATGAAAGTACTAATCTTCTAACAAACTTCAGCCTCGGAAGTGAGGGTCTTCCAATTGTTAGTCCATTGTATGACATAGAGGGAGATGATGTGCCATCCTTTGGACCAGCTTGCTACCAGAACGCAGAAAAAAAATCAGCAACTTCAAAGCCCCCATACTCCTTTAGTCTTCTCATTTATATGGCTATTGAGCACTCTCCAAATAAATGTTTGCCTGTCAAAGAAATTTATAGCTGGATTCTGGACCATTTTCCATATTTTGCTACTGCACCAACAGGCTGGAAGAATTCTGTTCGACATAATCTGTCCCTGAATAAATGTTTTCAGAAAGTGGAAAGAAGCCATGGCAAGGTCAGTGTTTATGAATTATATTTGGGAAGTGGGGGAACTAATTAACATGGAGCCCTTAAAATATCTGCAAACCGGGGAGACAAAAAGTAGTCAAGTCAAATCACTTCAGCTGAACTGAATTGTATTAGTTCATTTATTTTTGCTTGAGATGTTTTAAAATTTCTTAAATATTGATATAAATTTAACAGAATTATGTTTTGTCTACCATAGGTGCCTAGATTAGTCTTTTTATTATTTTAGCTCTTTGTTTCTAGTTTCTGTAGTGTTCCTATAACTATCAGTATTTGATTCTTTATTCAATATGACAATCTCTGCCTTATAATCAAAGTATAGACCATTTAAATTAATGAAATTGATATAGTTGGGTTTAAATCTATCACCTTGCTATTTATTTGATTTTCTTTTCCACTTTTCCTGCCTTTTTTGGGTTGATGTATTCTTCATTTTGGGTTTTGGTTTTTTGGTGGTTTTTTTTGTTTTGTTTTTTTGGGTTTTTTTTTGAGACAGTCTCCATCTGTCGCCCAGCCTGAAGTGCAGTGGTGTGATCTCCGCTCACTACAACCTCCACCTCCTGGGTTCCAGCGATTCTTATGCCTCAGCATCCAGAATAGCTGGGACTACAGGTGTGTGCCACCATGAGCAGCTAATTTTTGTATTTTTAGTAGAGATGGGGTTTTGCATGTTGCCCAGACTGGTTTTGGAAATCCTGACCTCAAGCACCACCCACCTTGACCTCCCAAAGTGTTGGGATTACAAGTTTGAGCCACTGTGCCTGGCCAAGGTGTTTTGTGTATGTGTGTGTGTGTGTGTGTGTGTGTGTGTTTTATGCTTCAATTTTATCTCTACTATTGGCTTATTATTTATTTATTTATTTTAGTGGTTGCTATATGGTTTTCAGTATACATCTTTAATTTATCATTGGTCCACCTTCAAATAATATTACACCATTTCACTTAACTGGCTCTTTACAGAAAAGGTTGCTCGGCGCCTGATGCCCTACTGGATTAATTCCTTTTGCCTGGAGAAGTTTATTTAAAATTTCTCATTATTCAGTTTTGTTGGCAATGGTTATTTTAAACTTTTTTTGTGGTGTGCGAGTTTAGAATTCTAGGTTAACATTTTTTTATTCTGTGTATTTTAAAGATGATTTGTTGTCTTCTGGATCCCATAGTTTCTGGTAAGAAGTCTGCTGTCATTCCTATTTTTGTTCTCTGTATGTAATGTTTCTTTTTTTAATTGCTGTCTTCAATATTTTTTCTTTATCTCTTTATCACTGCTTTTCAGCAGTTTGATTGTAATGGGCCTAGTTGTGGTGTTCTTTATTTTTATCTCGCTTTGGTTTCTCAGTGGTTCTTAAATATATGGTTTATTGCCTTTCATTAAATCTAGGAAATTTTTGCTCATTATCTCTTCAAATATTTCTTTTGCCTCACTCTTACTTTTAGGACTCCAAGTAAAAATATATTAGACCATTTGCTAGTTGTCTTTACCTCTTGATTGCTTTGCCCTTCCCTGACTCTTTCTCTCTTACTTTGGATAGTTTTTATTGATTTTTCTGTAGGTTCACCCTTTTTCTTCATTGTGTTCATTCTGCTGATAAGCCCCAGTGAAAGACGTCTTCACATTTTTAATTTCTAATGTTTTCATTTTCCTTTTAAAAAAGTTTCTGTCTCTGATAAAATTCCCCACTAGATCCATAAACATATTAATTATAGTTATTATATAATGTCTGTCAGTTTCAATATCTGGTCTGTGTCTGGGTCTGGTTTTGTTGACTGTTTTAATCTCTTGTTTTTGTATGTGTTTTATAATTTTGGATTGAATATCAGACATTGTAAAAGAATGTCAGGGACGGAAGTACATAATATTTCTACCCAGAAATAGGCATGCCTCTACTTCTGTCAGGCTGTTAGTGTGAACAGGTATTGGTCAGTCTAGTTAGTAATTGAGAGGAGTTTTGAGTGTTTGTGGTTGCAGTAATTACCATCGGTACACCACAGTCTTCAGACTCTTACAGAGTATGGACTGCCAGTACTTTGTGTTTAAAAGCAAAGTCTGGAGTAATATGATTTTTTTGTCTCGGCATTACTGCTACAACTTCATCTTCCAGCTTGTGCCACATTTGAGGGTGGGAGAGAGGTAAGATAGTTCTCCCTGTTGCCCTTCCTACAGCACCAGATTGCTGTTGCTTGTTACTTGGAGCAAGGCTTTTGGAGGGGGCAGAGTGGGATCCTTGGTTCTTCTCTGGCATTAGTCTTAAACAGGCTCAGGATGCCTGTGCTTCAGGTGTGAGTCTTTCTCTGCCTCCCCCAGGAGCAGATAGTCTCTCCATCTACTTAGTATAGAGTCTAGAGCTGCATTCTTCAGTAGCAAAACGTAAACTGTTTTCATGCCAGGACCATCTTACCACTGCACTTCAGCCTGGGCAATAAAGGGAGACTCTGTCTCACAAGACAAAACAAAAAACACTGGATTCAACTTTGGCCAAGTGCAGTGGCTCACACCTGTAATCCCAGCACTTTGGGAGGCTGCGACAGGTGGATCACTTGAGCCCAGGAGTTTGAGACCAGCCCGGGCAACATGGCAAAACCCTGTCTCTACTAAAATTAGAAAAAATTAGCTGGGCGTGGTGGTACACGCCTGTAGTCCCAGCTACTCAGGAAATGGAGGTAGGAGGATTGCTGGAACCCCCGGAGATTGCAGTGGGCCAAGATTGTGCCACTGCACTCCAGCCTTGATGACAAAGTGAGACTCTGTCTCAAAATAAAAAAATAATCCAGGCGTGGTGACTCGCACCTGTAATCCCAGCACTTTGGGAGGCTGAGAGGGCGGATCACCTGAAGTTGGGAGTTCAAGACCAGCCAGACCAACGTGGAGAAACCCCATCTCTACTAAAAATACAAAAAATTAGCCAGGCGTGGTGGCGCATGCCTGTAATCCCAGCTACTGGGGAGGCTGAGGCAGGAGAATCGCTTGAACCTGGGAGGCGGAGGTTGTGGTGAGCCTAGATCGTGTCATTGCACTCCAGCCTGGGCAACAAGAGTGAAACTCTATCTCAAAAAAATAAATAAATAAAAATAAAAATAATAAAATGTGATAGGCTCCATCCTGTGAGGTGAGATGTAATATATGAACTCTTACCTTTGGCAGAGCACGGAAATGGCAGTCGTGCTCTGCCTTTCTTCTAGTGCACATGGCACATTGCCTTATTAAATATGGGGATAGCTAGGTTTTATACTTTTCTTTTAGCAACAGCCATCCTTTGCCTGGGACTAAAGTGAGTGAAGGATTTTGCCTCTTCCTCAGTGGCAGACAGCTTTTCCTTTGTATTAGAGAGGAATCTGGAATATAGGCAGATTTGTGTCTATTCTACAATACCACCTAATCGTCACCTTGTGCTTGTTCAAGGTCTAGAACATGGATGATCTTTGCCTAAACTTTGGCAGATTCTGTACATCTGTCTTCATCCATAAGGGTTTCTCTCTTAGGCTTCCTGGCCTGCCTGCAGTCTTCCTCTGGAGCACCAGATGGAGTCCAGTGGAAAAAGACCTTGCCTAGTGGAGGCAGACCCTTCTGGGAATGTCAGGGATTCTCAGCTGTCATGCTAGCTCACATTTGGTCTTAAATAATTTGAATTAAAATTTGCGTGGTTTTTTTCTTACATTTTTTTACTACTGCCATTTCTGTACTCTGCCAAAGGTAAGTGTTCATATGTTACATCTCACCTCACAGGATGGACCCTGTCACAGTTTATTTTATTTTTTTATTTTGAGACAGGGTCTCACTTTTCATCAAGGCTGGAGTGCAGTGGCACAGTCTTGGCCCACTGCAACCTCCGGGGATTCAACCAATCCTCTTACCTCCTTTTCCTGAGTAGCTGGGACTACAGGCATGTACCACCACGCCCAGGTAATTTTTTCTAATTTTGGTAGAGACAGGGTTTTGCCATGTTGCCCAGGCTGGTCTCGAATCTCTGGGCTCAAGTGATTCCCTGTCTCAGCCTCCCAAAGTGCTAGGATTACAGGTGTGAGCCACTGTACTCGGCCAAAGTTGAATCCAGTGTTTTTTGTTTTGTTTTGTAAGACAGAGTCTCCCTCTATTGCCCAGGCTGAAGTGCAGTGGTGAGATGGTTCCTGGCATAGAGTTTCAGTTTTAAAAAGTAAGGAGGCAAACAGTTAATCATAATACAAAATAAAAAGAAATATAATAATAGTAACATGAACTAAGTCAGAGAGGAGTTCATTAATTATTACCTAGTACAGTGGTCCCCAAACTTTTTGGCAGTATGGACTGGTTTTGTGGAAGACAGTTTTTCTGCAGCCTGAGGTGGGGGCATGGGATACGGTTTTGGGATGAAACTGCTCCACCTCAGATCATCAGGCATTAGATTCTCATAAGGAACGCACAACCTAGATCCCCTCACATGTGCAGTTCACAATATGGTTCCAGCTCCTGTGAGAATCTAATGCACAGGCTGATCTGACAGGAGGCAGAGCTCAGGTGGTAATGCTTCTCAACTTCCACTCTCCTCCTGCCCCGTGACCTGTTTCCTAAGATGGCACGGACCTGTACCGGTCTGCAGCCTGGGAGTTGGGGACCCCAACCTAAAAGATTTGGGAAATTTTTATGGAAAAGTTTGCCTTTGAAGCGTGCTTTGTGAAAAAAAGAACAGGTTTTAGAAGGGTAACATATGCCAAAGGGCAGTGGTACATTCTGCTGGGAGTTTGGGGCAGTAGGCATATTCTCTGTGGGTGAGGAATGTATGAAAGCAGGGTGGAAAAGTAGAGTGATCCAGAATAGAAGTGTGGTGAATATCATGCTAAATTGTTTGGACTTCAGTTTTCAGAGCAAACCAGTGAGAGTTTTCAAGCCAGGAGCATGATAGAGTTTCCCTGTATTTGACTTGTGACAGTGTGAATGATAGAGCAATATATTATCTTAAACAATATCTGAATTCATTTGCCAAAGGAATGTCACAGTTACTAGTACCATGCAAACGG